AATTCTCAATATAAAAACCATAATATATTGACTTTCATAAATTCTCCAGAAACTTAAAGGCGCGAAACAACAACGTCACTGGCGATGATTGCTAAGAATACATTTTACTGCAAATACCCAGTTCATTATACGGCTTTTTCTGATTATTCTATAGCGGTACGCCTTGAGCAGGTCATACCTCTAAATAAAATTCATCTTTGTCATAAAATGTAGATTCAATATTTTCATTACCCTTGTAGTCATGCCGCAGGCGACGGGAAACTGTTTTTAGCGTTCTTCTGACCAGTGGCGTATCTAGAAGTCTTGAAATGGGGGTGTTGATGGGGGGGGGGTGCGAAGGTGAAGTTGGGGGTCTAGATGATCAATTGAGGGGCGCTATTTTGCAAAATAAGGTGACTTTAGGTGATTTTTAACTACTTGACCGTGATTTTTGGTGGGGGCCACTGGGGTACACGAGTAATTTTATTTTGGAGGGGGGCGTGCGCCCCCGTATTCCCCCTCCCGTAGATACGCCACTGCAGATAACATAGCAGAGTATAGTTCTTTGCACGTACGCATTGACACAAAGCATGGTCTTTATGGTGTTCAGGCATTTGGGTCAAACGTAATTAAGGGGGTCATTCTTTCTTTCTTTCTGGCAACTTCAAAACGCTACTAATGGTAAACGATCGGGTCGATTTCAATCAACCTTGATTGAAATCTGTTTTTACTCAAATTTACTAGGAATGATCTGACTGGGTTCATATTTTACTTAACATATTTGCTATTTATTATTATTATTATTATTATTATTATTATTATTATGATTATTATTATTATTATTATTATTATTGTTGTTGTTGTTGTTGTTGTTGCTGCTGCTGCTGCTGCTATTGTTGTTGTTGTTGTTGTTGTTATTATTATTGACTGGGTTTTATGTTTTACTGAACATATTTGTTATTTATTATTATTATTATTATTATTATAGTTGTTGTTGTCGTTGTTGTTGTTGTTCTTATTATTATTATTATTATTATTATTATTATTATTATTATTATCAAATTTAATATTATTGTTGCTATTATTATATTATTATTATTATTATGTAAATTTTGTGTAGAATATTTTATTTTACGCTTGTGTTCCGCCTTCAAAACATGATTAGAGGACGATGATATTGACGTATAAACATTATTACTGTCACTAATTAGTAAATACAGTAAATTGGCTGGTTTTGTGCAACAGTTAATCATTTCGTCAATTGTATTCGCCTTTATGAAAGCATTGTCTACCTGTTGATAATCGTTTTGGTTTATAGACAAATTTTGACGTTTGATTAACAATGAAGGTCTTCCATAATTACTAGAATTTTAGTTGTGATATTAGCGACGTCAGGCAGTCTAGTTCGTAATATTTGTATCAATATGGATCCGTTTTCAGATCAGGGCTGGAAATATTTTCGATGAGGATGATTAAAATTATGAAGTATGAGATAACCGTAAATAATGATAGCCTACATTGTGCTGTTTATATAGTACCGGTATTGTGTTGTGAAATTATGTTCTATAATTAGCACCGAATTCATTTAGAAAAACATAATATGAATAATATACATATACACTAGGCATTTACATTAAACTTTTTTTTAAATTAATAATAATATAGGCCTACAGTAATAACTATTATTATTATTAAAAATTTTAAAAATAAATAAATTAGTCATGTAAAACGCCGCTGATTATAATGTACCGGTATATAGAAATGTTAATGTTAATACTTTAATATATATATATTGTCTCTTATACACATCTAGATGTGTCTAAGAGACAGGCCATAATAAATAATTTACAAGTGATTAACTTTCATTAAAAACACAAGTTAGTTTTTATACTTTTTGCTACGATAATTTAAATGGTTTGAAAGACAACGGCTGAAGTTACAACATGACCAATAATTAAAAATTTAATAACGGTTTAACTATTTAATGTTTTATTATTTGAATTATTATTATTAGTTCAGCACCACAAACAGTATGTATAAGTTCTACTGTTTTCTCTACTCTCTCCGTTCCACGCGCCTCAGGATATTGGTTAAGTAACAATTATTGTTGTGTCTTCTTAATAATGTTGATAATAGTAGGTCTACAGTAATAATAATAATAATAATAATAATAATTATTATTATTATTATTATTATTATTATTATTATTATTATTATTATTATTATTATTACTATTATTATTATTATTATTATTATTATAAAAAATGTTTCTGTGTTTGCTCTAGGTATAATCAATGTATTATTCATCGAATTTACCAAATTTCCCTTTACAATATTAATCATCCATTTCTTCTCACCGCTAATTAAGATTGCAATCATTATGTTATGAGGTATAGTACTGCTAGTATATTTTGAAAACGATCAAAATAAGTACACATGGTTTCAATACCGCTGTTATTTTATGTTTTAATATATTACACACAGGGAACAGTTAAATTACATTGTTAATTTCACTGTTCCCTGATTAGAACAATGTCATTGTCCAAAGCAGAGGCAGCGGAAGTAAGTAATTATCTAATGCAAATAATTGATGAAATAAATGACAACAAACAATGAAACAAGTTATCCTCCATGAATATGCAGTTAAATTTGCACAGAAATTAATTTTTACAATATATATATATATATTTTTTTTTTTTTTTGTGAGGGGCATTTTTAATTTAATTTTAATTATTATTACCTCCTCCAACAATTAAGGGCTTATATCTGCATCATTATTACAACAGTGTTTACATAAAGAAGATGAATAATATGATATAATGGTCGTCTGCTGCTCTAGCGAACCAATGCTTAAAAACTTCCCGCGTTCTAATATGCATTATGGTTAACATTCAACATTTTAAAATATATGAACTTCGACAGTATATTTTACCTTACCATAGTAGTATATTGTCTATGTATCGATATACCCTACTTCTCTTACTTCCAGCTGCTATCCTTCCGTCAGCCTGTCCATCACGCAGTTTGTCAATGTTGCGTTTTGTCAGTTTAAACGTCGATTCATGGATAATTGTACGTGACAGTGCTTTACTTTGCTGGGTAATACACTGCTGGTACCAGGCCATGTTGGCTTGTTATCAGTTGAAAGAATAGGCCTAGATACAGTATATCGTGACTGTACAACTTCATCACAGCATTTAAACACACATACACACTATGTAATTTAAGTGTAAAATGTGTTTTTAATGACTTCTTTGTGATGCACCACTGAACAATTTTATTGGAAGAGGCGCAATATAAAATATATTATTATCATTATTATTATTATTATTATTATTATTATTATTATTATTATTATTATTATGTATATTATATGCATAATATAAGAAATGTTACACGTCTTGCGGTAATGGATAGTATAGCATTTTAATGATTTTTTTTTCTACTTGATTTATCCTTTTAATGTTTCTTGCAATTAATTTTAATTAAATTGTACATAACACGCAATACGGAACTTGGCTACGTAGTGTTATCTTATGAGACGAGTAAATAATAAAAGTGATATACATATTTAAATGACACTATTGAACTTTTCGATTGTCTTGTGCCAATGAAAGCAAATTTCCAAAGCAATTTTTCGACCAGTAGAAATTAGCTTATCTTACAACTTGATTTGTTCTTGTATTCGAGCATTGTGTTTATCATGTAGGCCTACCTGTATGTTTGTTGATAACTAGGCCTTTTCACGCATGTGCAAAAGAGTGTGAACTTTTGTGCTTCTAATTGGGTGTCCATATAGACTGCAAAAGGTCCCTTGTTGGAATCCCGGTTGGGGCAACTTCTTAAACTTACAAATTCTGTTTTTTATCGTTCAACACGTTGTATATAGGCCTCCCTATTTAATATATGTAAGATATATTCTAATAATTTAGCAAAGTAAATTTTATTCCCAATAATATTTAATTACTAACAACCTTGACTCTCGTCGTCATTTTTTAAAACCTAATTCTTTCATGTTCGTCAGCAGCTTACCCGCAACTCGTAATGGTTTTCAACAAGTATAATTATAATGGAAGGTCATAATAATCAGTTACTTACACAGTGGTAAGACTAAATACACAAAATTGAATATTAAAAGCAAATATAACTGAATTTGAGATGAACAGTGGTGTCGGGAGTTTACAAGCATATATTATTAAATTGTATCTGCAATGACACATTATCCGCTGATTGTGTTTGATGATGCTATAATTATATAGACCTTTCTGCTATAAAAGCCTACTTTAGTATTTAATATCATGCGTATCAGTAAATCAGTAAATGGCAAAATTAGCATCCAAGACCATCAAAACTCTACATTATTTGGGGCCTTGGGCCAGAAATTACCGCCAGTACACATGATGGTTCTCACCTAATAGCAAAAGGGCACAGAGTCCACCCTGCCGATCTCCACTCCCAAAACACATCTTATCGTTCAAACTTACCCCGGTATTCTTAAAACGAACTTTAGTCGTAGTTCGAGCTAAAACTTAAAAATTATGCCATTTCGTATTCTTAAAACGAACTTCGACTAGCACTGCAACTAAATGACGCGAACCTCGACTAAAATGACACCTCCACAGGCCGATTTTTGTTGGTAGTTGGTATAATACATAGGCCCACATGAGTATTAAGCAGCACAATAAAGAAGTGTTGAAATTTTTAAGTAAATAAAAATAATTCTTAAAAATCATAAGAACTGAATGCGTGCGTGCGTTTAATGGAACAACGCGTCATGTGTTTATAAAACAAGCATGATTTTCTGGTCCTGTTCCTGATTGGTTAGTTGTTTTTGACGTTTTTATTAACAATCTGGGAAGGTACATTGCGAAATTAAAGAAATAAAGAATTCGTCGAAATAATAAGGTTTACATCGTAGAGAACGGTACCATAGAGAGCACTGTACTGCACAGTTTATTAGAAGTACTCCCTGGCTTACAAAAAAAATACATAATGCAGACGATCTAAAAATTCGCACTCACCTTCCTACAGTTGGATCTTCGGATGAGTTAACGAATTTCATTCGTCGAATTGCCAGCTCCCAATAGTCTTGATGAGTAATATACACAACAGTAAGGGTACACGCATAAACAGTTAGCATCCAGCTAAATTAATATTATCATTATCGATTACTGATTTATTGTCAGTGGATAGCTTTGTGAAGCCTGGTGCTTACTGCCAACGGATCCTACTCCGCTCCCTCCGAGCACTAGACAGCCGTCTGCTGATTGTCGGGTGGCTGTCTGAACGGATGGATGGTCATTAATAAAAGAGCAATTCTTTGCGCGCGCTTCGTGGCGTTGCGTTCTCCATAAAATCATTTTGATCATAAATCGAAAATCATAAAATCGATTTGAAATCTGGCTGCCAAAATGATTCAAATACTCCTTGTTTCTTTTCCAACATGTCAATCAATATTGAACAATGCAATGCATATTTATTATTTTTCTGATAAAATAGGCCTACATTTCTAAATTAATATGTCTATGGTCGATATTATTATTATTATTTTTTATTTATTTATTATTATTATTATTACTGTTATTAATAATATTATTCTTATTATTATCATTATTATTATTAGGCCTATTATTATTACTATTATCATCATTATTATCATTATTATTATTATTATTATTATTATTATTATTATTATTATTATGTAATCAGCCAATTATAATTACTAATAATAAATTAGAAATAGTCATTGTGTATAGCATGTTGTTATATTGTAGACCTGTACTTTGAGGGTCATTGTAATAAACTCTCTTGAGTTATACGAGGACTACAACTCTCATGAAGTACTTTACTAAATAAATAAATCAATCACGTTTCGCGAAACTTTTTTATTAACACGAATAATTGACTTTATTAAAACGTTATTCTCAATCATTCACGTGAGAAGCTTGGCAAACAACACGCGGTTGACGCAAACAAAGCATGACGCAAATTTCATTCTACCTCTTGTGGAAAAATTGAGCTTGGTCCTGCGCATGTGCAACTTCTCATTGGTTGGAGCTATTATATAGAATTGCGGTACAGATACGCGCCTGATTTTGAGTAGTAAAACACAGAAAATCGACTGTCAGTGCCCTCTCCCATCCCCCTCCCACACACACACACACACACACTTTATTTTTCAAAATTATAAAAAATAAATAAAAATTATCGGAAAATAATTTAATTATAATCAAAGTTAAGTCTAAGAGTGCCGTTTCCGGTCATCTAGAGGTGCCATAATTATAACTTTTCCTTCCTCAGCCCCAACCATGGTGGGGTGGATGGACCCTCTATCTCTGAACCTCCTTCTCTGGGCCACCTCTATTTCGAGTTCTTGGATCGGCCACTGACTGTGGTATATAACGACGTCATAGAGTATCGTATCTCCTTGTCAATTTATGCCTTCAAAAATTCAAGCTTACATTTATTGCAAATTGCAGATTATGTTATTTAATTCAAGGTTAATTAATGCAAAATGTACTCGAAATGAAAGCTGATGAATGATACCATGTTTATATAAGCGGCGTTAATTTTATTTAATACAATTACTATATTAATTTGATTAGTTCTTAATGGATATGCGAACTTAAGCCTAAACCCTGTAGAATTTACAGTCGGTGCCTTTGAATGATACGATTGATCATGTTGCTATGGGTACTTGCCTACAGATTTTACATAATGCATTTTTCTTTAAAAATTAATCTCCTTTATCATCCCGATCAAGTTTAATTGAGTGCAATGTTTGAAATGAAAATTTGTATTTTTTATATTATATCACTTTCTGACATGTCTATTTAAAATTCTTAAATATTTTACATTTTAATCAATTCACATAATGCATGTTTCTAAATTAGTTTTGGTCATCATCCCGATCAAGTTTAATTAAAGTGCAATGTTTGAAATGAAAATGTGTATTTTTTTTTATTATATCATTTTCTAACATGTCTATTTAAAATGCTTAAATTTTACATTTTAATGAATTTAGGCATTATCATTTTTAATTGTTTTATGTTTATTTTACGTATAACTGATTAAATTTGTATAAGAGCCCCGATGGAATAGGTTTTATAGCCTATATTTTGAAACTTTCTTGGGTTACCAAGAATTAATGTCTGTTATATATCTATTCTTTGTTTTTGTTTGTAATCAATTTGGAGTAAGATTGATTTGCCTTTTGAGTTGAGATGAAATAAGTTGAATTTTCCAATTTATTTTATTGAGGAATTAAAATCACAGAGCATTTATATATATAATACATATCATATATATATATATATGTATGTATGTATATTATATATATATATTATATATATATATATATATAAATGCTTTGTGGTTTTAATAAAATAAAATAAAAAACTCAAATCATTTCATTTCAACTGAAAAAGCAAATCAATCTTACTCCAAAATTGATTGCAATACTTCGATACTAAAGACGCTTCTCGTCACCAGCATATTGTAGCCCTACTTATGATTCTGTAATCATAATAATAATACTTCATTCATTCTCATAAAATTGGAAATTTGAATATTGAATTTGATGATTGCAGTAATACAGTTAGAAAATAATTTATAATTTACAAAAGAGATACTTGAATCTGTTGTTGAGCTTAAAAGTCTGTGTTAGTAGTACGTGCAGTTTATACAACAGCCTAAATCAGTGGAGGATCCAGGTTTTCTGCGGGGTTGCGCCATTGACGATGAAGGGCCTAATGTTTACATGGGGTGGATGGTGGAGGGTGGAGGTTTTGGGGTGTATCCTTACATATTCTGGTGGTCCAGAAAAAATTATACATTCTACACGGCCCGCATTCGTTTACTATACCCTCTTCATCCAGGATTGGTCCTGATGTGGCACTTCATAACCAATAATCAACTACTAATAATTTTGTTTAAGCAATATCAGGATATATGACCTGTGCGGCGGTTTTCCAGTCACCCTGCCGGACGTGGCACGTGGTGGTGGTGGTCGTCGTCGTGGAGTAGTAGTAGTAGGTAGTAGTAGTGTTAGTGGTAGTGGTGGTGGTAGTGGTAGTGGCAGTAGAGCAACAGCAATAGCAGTGGTAGAGCAACAGCAGCTGCAGCAGCAGTATTAAGAGGCCGCGTTTTGTAGGCCTTGTCCTACTTAGATTAAAATGCGTGGTAGCGGATGTCAGAAGGAGCAGTTGTGTGTGTGGGTGGCTGTGGTGTATGTGGGCCGATGACTCAACGTAATTGGCGGAGTAACGCTCACAAAACATGACCAGACATTTAATACTTATACGTATCGAGGCATGTAACATCGTTGACACTTTGACTTTTCCTAACGTATACTAGTACATTTAACACTTTTTCAACGAATCCTTAATGGAATACGGTCGTTATTGATACTCATTAAATATCAATAATTGACAGTAATGCTGGCGTATCACCATTAAAATAGATATTCCATTCTTACATATAAACAAAGTTACAGTAGTACAAATGCATTTCGACCTACGTTATTTGTATGCAAAAATAGAAAAATAAAACCTTTATATTTTCTAATGCATTTTATAGTTAAAATCTGCCAATAACAATTACAACCAAAAATGACATAAAAAACATAGAATAAAAGCCTATAAGGGAATGATTGCAACAGGACGAAAACATGAAAGAAAACAAACAGGTTTTAGCAGACGGCAAAAAGATAATGTGAAATCAGTGCTGATGCTTTTAGATATTTGGCACGTGAAGGATAAGTAAAGTTAGGTATAATTATGATTCTTCATTTTTCGTTGATCTTAAACATCCTCTAGTTGATTTGTAAATGTTTACTGGCGTACCAACAAGAAATTATTGTACAATAATAATGATAATGTAAATTGTGTACCGTACTTAAAATGTTGAAATAAAAATATTTGATAATATTTAACCCTATTTGAAACTCATTTTCTTACAATTCTTTATTTCACACTTCAATTCAAACCACTAAATGAACGCAACCCAATCTAAGATCTATAATTATCCTGATGTTATTAGATGACCTATTCCCTAGCACAAACCGTAGGTAAACTAATGAATAAATGAATAAATTAAAAGCTGATATCTATCTCTTTGTGATCATTCATAGTGTCCAAATAATGATACAATAATTCACAAAGTTGACAAACAACCTTCTATACACATACTAAAACACTAGAGTTGTTGTTTGATTAAAATCAAGATACGTGATCCGGGTAGATTAAAATGTCCCGGTTGTCTAATTATTCAAATCTGAATAAACACTTCCGTTCTGCTGCTAATGAATTACATAGCCTAGACCCTTATTTTCCTCTGGCCCTGTATTCTCCTGTATTTATGGATTTTTATAAGCTGGCAATAGGAAGGTTACGCAACCTTACGAAAACAATAACGAATACGAATACGTCATTATCATTATCATCATTTGTGCCCAGAAATATTCTTGACAATATGCTGTAAGAGCTGAATATGATGACGTAACCGTATTCCTAATCGTTTTCGTAAGCTTGTGAAAACTCCCTAATAGGCATACGTATAATATATACGCTCTAACAGTAGTTCGCTTCTCACTCTACTATGGAAAATTCAAATGTAAACGCAAGAATTCTTTTCTGCAGTTGCTTTTGCGTTTAGTACTAATTTTGAGTGGTTCATACATAAGTTGTCTGTACTGACTTGGCGTTGGCGGTAGCGTTTCTTGCGTTTACCTTTAAAACGCGTCTAGGCATTTGAAGCCCTGTCCAGACGATCAAATTCTACTAGACAAAAATTTGACATGCCTAGATATTGTCATGGTGACATTTTGACCATTATATAGGCACAGTATCGGCATACAACTGTTTTTTTGTCAAAGAAAACCCGATAGTGTGGACAGAACTTAAGACGAGTGTTGCAAATGGATGCATACAATGCTAGTAGACTTAGGCCTACTATGCGTAGCATTGCGTTTGCGTTATACCTTTAAAGCTCTAGTGTGAACCTGTCCCTTAAATATGTTGTTGCTAAGTACGTACAGTAAATTGTATTTCAGGTACGATGTTACGCGATTGGTCACCCATCCAAAGGCGTTGCGCTCATCAAACTGTAGACACATGGGTGAATATAGAGGATTGCCTCGCAGTACGCACATCGATTCACAATCAGCCGCACATCAAAGCAGGCTAACAAAAGCCAAGCCATTTTCAATAAACGCGTGTAAACGTATGATATCAGGAGTACGCACAACACAGTTATTTACACTATAGAAACCTTTGTATGTTTAATATCAACATACATAGAGGCCTGGAATATGGGCCCGTAATCAAATATGACATCAAATTACAACCAGTAATTATTGCAGAGATTGCACATCGGCCTGTACAGCATTTTGTTTTTTGCCATTTTCGGTGTTACATGATGGCGATGAGAATATGAGCTGCTGCAACCGACACAATAATTAATGAAATTATTAGAAAAAGTCTATCTAAAATGACGGCGACTTCTCGCCATTGGCCTTCGTAGTCTTTGACTGATTTGGATCCGGCACTGACCAGAGCCTCCTCGTCATTTTGTGATTTCCGCCGTGTGGAGCTTCGTGGTCGGCTAATATTAACTTCCGATTTACCACCAATATCGCCACAAAATTCACCATCGTTGTGATTGGACCTGTTTTTTTCGTAGAGATGGTCAGCGGCCGCCTCCTTCGCCTTCCGCTCCACCATATTATACTCATTCCGATTCTTGACGTAGGCATTTTGACGGCCAAGAACGGACCCCAGTTTTCCAAGAACAATGGTCCTAATCCAGCCAGGAAGTGGTCGCGCGCTGCTACCACAGTAGATGTTCAGTACGACAGACGTAACCAACACTGACGTACATCCCATTGAAATAATGAACGTAAAATACGTGCCTGTGGGAAAGATAGAATTAGTACATTAATGAGGTTAATTATTACTATTCATACGTTACATTATTGTTATGTAAACATGATATGTCATTAATTTTGCTGTTACATTTCCATTGACTCTACAATTTGTCTTTTTTAAGGGGAGGGAATTAGATTATAAACATTTTGTTATTATTATTATTATTATGAAGTTGATAGTGATGGTGACGGTGACGTTACGGAGATAGAGGCAATAATAATAATAATAATAATAATAATAATAATAATAATAATAATAATAATAATAATAATAATATTAACAATAATAATTATAATAATAATGATAATATTAACAAAATTGAAATTAATGTTGATGAAGATGACGATAATCAATATTATTATTGAAAAAAAATGCCAAAAACGCAAAAAAACGTCATCGGAATATTGTTATTAATTATTATTATTATTATTATTATTATTATTATTATTATTATTATTATTATTATTATTATATATGATATTGGAAATGAAAATAACAACAGTAATTATGGTTAGTATATAATCTCCTCTTTATCATCCTTTTCTACTTCTACATAATGTATTAATGATTTTCCATTTAATGTTGCACATTAAAGTTAATGTCGAAAATACTGAGCATGTACACGTTAACGGAATCGATGATGTTGTTTTTACCAATTATTGGATACAAGTTAAAGGCTATAGAAATAGACAATACCATTAGCAAAACATTATTACGCGATTTTCATTCAGCGCAGGTACTGCAATAATCTACCTTACATTACCACTGGCCATTGGAAGTAACGCATTATGTATCACTTCCTCAGCTGTCTGAGGAGCACCAGGTAGTAGAAACAGCGACTGATTGTTTGTTCCTACTAAGACTCACTTATTTTCCCTGGCAGAGAGAGAAAATTAAAATTTGGAGTGAGAGAATTAAAACACAGAACTGATGGTTGAAGGCCCGAATCGCAACCGCTCTCATTTTTCTATACCTTAATTACAGAATGTTTGTTCAGATAGCTAATTGCCATTGCTAAGACCCTTTAACTCAACAAGCCACCATGTTACTATGTGAGTGCAAACCCCAACCCTGTGTCTGGATACCGAACAATACGCAGGCCGTGTATGGACGATTCCATTACTTTCGCTTATGCTTGAGGGTAAGTTCAAGTGGGGGAAAAACGAATTTCCATGACCTTAACCTTTGTCCTTTGACCTATTCTTCCCAATATTTAATCATCTCTTTCTTAGGTTATGATGTACCAGTCCACTGGATTTTATAATAATCCATCGCTTGGTTTTTCGTAATATTGAAATACTGGTTTATGCTAAATAATTGTTTTGCCCGTGGTTATAAATCGTCCATATAATTAAGTTGTTATCATCATTTCATTGTCCAATCCATTGGGATTGCAGAGTAGGCCTTTTAGCGCCTGAATAAAGTTGGGGTGCGCGTTAAACGCCTTAAAATCGGTTGGTTAACTTGCACCGTTGATCACGTTGAACATAAATTAATGTTTCTTTAATCTTTACAAGCTTTTTATTTTATCCGGCTTTGGGTTTGCGGGTTGCCGATTAACATTTATGTCATTGTCTTGATCGAAATTTAAGTATGATTTATGAATAGGAGAATTAGTGAATAAATGAGGCAACGTGCTATGTACAATCTTATAAGTGTTCACAATTAAGATCACCGTGTATTATATGTCAGGCATTGATTGATTGTACTGGTCTTATGCAATTGATCCGAGTGCGTTTCTATTCCATTATTTGAAATTTACCCACAGACATATCATATATCTTAACCTGAATCTAAACCTGAAAACGATTCTTGTGTAACGGCAGAATCATGCCTGTTTTTTTTTCTGAGATTTATAGCAGTCTCTTAAGCCTATTGTATGGATTTTGCGACTGCAAATATTGTGATCGGATAATCGTCGTCCAGGTCCATAAATATTCATATTCACTTTTGATAGACATCATGTATTAAGTTTTATTGATTTTTATATTGACGTGGATTCAAAGGTTATCAATCTCTATTAAAAGCGGCCTCTGTCAACAAGTGCATTAGGCCCTATTTAAATATTAGGTCATAAAAATACTTAACATATTTATTCTCGTTAATTATTATAGTATAACATATTCATATTTCTCCAAATCATCCCCATTGCCTAGATGAGTTTTTGTGACAATCAGAAACTACGCTTTTTTTTCTAAATAATCAGTGTAATTTGTCATAACATATATACTATAGGCCTAGTGTAAATGATTGATCAAATACACCAATACATATACTGTACACATACATACACACAATATATATTACAATCCCTTAGAGACTTAATTGTAATTTGCGCTATATAAAAACTGCTTATTATTATTATTATTATTATTATTATTATTATTATTATTATTATTATTATTATTATTATTAAAATTATATATATATAATAATAATAAATAATAATAATTATTAATATTATTATAATATGTTATAATCCCTGGATAACATTATATTATTTTAACTATATTTTAATAGGTAGAATTCTTCTTTCATTCAATCTGGAAGGTATTTTCATTATTTATTTTTTTGAAAATCAGATTATTCTTTTTATTATTTATTAATTATTTTTATATATTATTTTTTATATATGACATTATATTATTGTAACTATATTTTAATAGATAGAATTTGGCAAAGGTGTTGGAATGGATGGCCTGACACTAGATTCATTACGTAATCAGAAGTACGAGGCAGTGTTCCTTGGAATTGGACTCCCAGAAGCAAAGCGAGCGCAAATATTCGACGGCCTAACAGTGCAGAATGGGTTTTACACCTCCAAAGACTTCCTACCTCTTGTCTCAAGTGCCAGTAAACCAGGTAAGGGTAAAAAAGAATCTTGCTTTAATTAGATGATGATGATCATGGAGGAAAAAATCCCTCTGTAATATGACTGATATCCTCTGTGAAGACTTCAAAATATATCCTGCCACTTTGGAACATTTCGCTTTCCAGTTTGGAGTAGCTACGTTTAATAAGACAAGATTCTCTAGTCATGTTAATTTCATTTCCACATGCCTTAAAGCGAACATTATTCCCAATGGATTCCGATCTAATTGGAGACCGTCTATTGCCAATGTTCACTCTGACATTGTTTCTAAACCTATTAGAGACTGTTCCAGAAGAATTATGCGATCCAGCTTACGCTCTTTTCAAACTCGTTGCAACATTAATAGTGCCAAGATGGAACAATTTCGCAATTTACTGGAAGCTTCCTGCAGTACCTCTGAATTTAACCACATACGTCATGTTGTCCATATGCTGAACAGAAAATATTATGATTGTCTCACTACCGCTAAGAAAACTAAACTTGATAAGCTGAAATGTGAAAATAAATCGTCAACCGTCACCACCACCTCACCTGATACATCTAAGCTGGTTGTTACTATTCCATCGGATCTTGAACTTACTGATAACGAGAGATCTGTACTCTCTAAAGGCCTGTCATTCGTTCCTAAGCGTGAAACTATTGATGTATTCCAAGTTAAGTGTGATCTAGAACAGTACTACCGTAAACTACGGCTTTGAGCTCATTTTCATAACCAGGAAACTCAACCTAATAAAGTGGATGAATTCACATACCTAGTTTCTAATAACTCCAACTGGACTCCACCACCTGGTAAATTCGCTGCTTTGGAACTATACATTAACAAATGCCGCCACGACATCAACAATTTGAACCTTAAACGCCGTGTCAGAAACAATAACCTCAGCCGTGGAGAACTCAGTGCTTTGCGCTCTCTGAAGAACAACCATAATTTGATTATTAAACCTGCTGACAAGGGGAGAGCTACGGTCGTATAGAAAAAAGACCTCTACATCGCTGAAGGACTACGACAGTTATCAGACACTACCACATATGAACAGTTAACTACAGATCCTATAGCTGAGGATCAAATTAGTGTTAGCACCACCATTAAGAACTTGATTAAACACGGTGATCTACCTCCTAATGCCAAGTGCCTTAATAATTTTAATCCCACTTGCTCACGCTTCTATATGCTACCAAAATTACACAAGACAGATACTCCTGGCCGACCTATTGTGTCCTGCTGCAATTGCCCTACCATCATCCTCAGTGAGTTTCTGGACAATGTTCTAAGCCCTATGGTTCAACGACTACCCACGTACATTAAAGATAGCAAGGAAGCAGTTGTGATATTCGACCAATTTCAATTTCCTGGGGACAACCGTCTTATTTTTACCATGGATGTTACATCTTTATACACTTGCATACCTATATCGGAAGGCCTGTCCGCTCTTAAGTACTTTCTCGACTTAGATAATCCTACATCACATGCCACATCAACGCTCATCCGCCTTGCAGAATTAGTATTGACCACTGCCTCGTTTACCTTGAATGGATCATACTACCAACAACTTACTGGAGTGAGTATGGGTACCCGTATGGGACCCAGTTTTGCTTGTTTATTCAGGGGCTACCTTGAGAAACAAATATTCGACGAATACGATGGTACCAAACCTTTGCTTTTCAAACACTACATCGATGATTGTGTGGGAGCTGCATCTTGCTCATATGAGGAGCTCATCAATTTCATTAATTACATGAACTCCTTCCACCCAGATATCAAGTTCGCCCATGAGATCTCACCTACCAGTGTTACATTTTTAGATATTGATGTCAATATCAAGGGCTCCGCACTATCTACCACCGTCCACTATAAAACTACTGATGCGCACACATACTTAAATTACGATTCATCACATCCACCCAAGTGCAAAGACTCTATCCCTTACTCGCAATTAGTTCGACTCAGGCGAATTTGTAAACAGGACGATGACTTCCAAATACGCGCCGAAGAAATGATGTCCTTCTTTTCTAATAGAGGATATCCTACCAGCATCACCGACGGCTGCCTTAACAAAATTAACCAAATGACACGGGAAATTGCCCTCCAACCTCGAAAAAGCGACACATCTACCAACCGAATACCTCTAGTATAACCTACCATCCGATAACGAAACAAGTAGCCGAAGTAATAACCAGGAACTTTGCGATTTATCATCAGATGAAACCACCAGTAATATATTCACATCACCACCGATGGATGCATGCCTACCGCAGAGATAAAAATCTAAAAGACACTCTAGTTCATTCCGATGCTAAATCCTCACATACCCAACCACCTATTGGATTTACTACTGATTGTAATCGACCACGATGTAAAACATGCGCTCATGTTTACTCAACCGATATCATCCACGGACCAGCTAGTACATTCAGAATAAAAGACACTTTTTCATGTATTTCCTGTAATATAGTTTACGCTATTATTTGTACTAAATGTCAACTATTATATATTGGAGAAACCAAACGGCGTATGAGCTGTCTCTTATACACATCTAGATGTGTATAAGAGACAAAAAGTTATATATACAAGGTCATCAAAATTAACAAATATTACAATCCTCAATTCTTCCAATTATTATCCATTCTCCCTCTACAATAATACAATAACCAACAGATAATAATGATTAATGTTTAATTTTTTTTGTGTGTGTAATTAATAATGAGTACCCTATAAGCCTATATTAATAGAAACACAGATATTTAACAAAATGTTTTTACCTATAATCGGAGCATTATCGGCGGTCGGAGGTAGCGTTTCGGCGATCATTTGTTGAAAGAGTAGTAACCCAAGTATAGTTGTCATACCAAAAGAAATCTTCTCCCCACTCTCTGGTGGCAGGTAAAAAACCAACATTGATAGAAATGACAGCAGTACACAAGGTAGCAGAATATTTGCAAGGTAAAACTCCGGACGTCTTTTTAGGATTATATTGAATATCAGCATCGGGTACGGCTCTGGGCAGCAGTTGAATTTCCGAACTTCTCTCTCTACATTTACATCACTTAGAACCCAAATTCCATTCTCGGCGAATTCCGTCTGCTCGGAGTCCTTTCCTGTCTTCTTCAGCAGGTTAAGCTCGTAGCCGTTGTATATCCATGAACCGAACTCCAAGACGCATACTTGAGTGTCAAACGGAAACTTTTTGACGTTCATTCTACAAGAGCTGGTATAGATAGACGGAGAGGCCCATGTTACTAATCCGTCGGAACTCACTCGGAGGAAAACATCATCCTTTTGGCGTTCGAATTGCCCATCAATGCTGGAAAAAAAAATATTATAAGATCATTGAAACAAATCATTTGGATCCAATATATAATATATTAGATGTACGTTCATTTTTGATGATACAAAAAGATAATGAAAAGTTAGAGAGACCGAAGATAGCATGTTATATTGTAGGCCTAATTGAATTGCAAAATCAATGTTAGAAGTAATAGGCTTGAATAAGTAACCGAGCTGCAGAAGAAGTGATGAATGAATAGAGACGATATGATGTTGAAAGTGTATTATTTTGTCAAAGTTAATTAACAGTAAGAGTTTGAGCGTGTCTAATGAAAAATTACGACACCGTCAAGCAAAATAATAATAATAATAATAAATTTATTTGTATAGAGCGCATTATTCCTCTATGCGCTTATAATATTAAATAATAAACCAGAGAAAAAGCAAACATATGAAAGAAATTTAAAATCGAAATAGAATATGCCAGACAATTATAATAATGATTACTTATTATATAATGTAACGTCCGGTAGCCATATATCCTTCTGTTCAACTGAAATTGTTTTGACTTTGTATTCGGTAGCATTCCATACCAGTCTTTCGTCCAACCATTCCTGTTCAAAACACGGAAATTCAATAAGTAAGGAATTCTTTTTATAAATCTATTATAGTAGTTTATATTAAATTACTAAGGCTCTGTTTACACTGCCGTGTCAAGGTTTATGTGACCTGTGATTTATTCATGATATGGGATCATAGGGAGCTTTCGATGTGTGCGACGACGCGACGCAGAACGGAATCACTCATTCGTGACCGTCCTACCTGGCGTCCTACGTTCTCTGCGTACGTAGATTTTGCCAAATTACGTTCCAGAATCTACTCGACGAGGTGACCTTAACGTTCTCGCATGCACAGATGACTTTTAATGACGTCATTACGTTCTACGTCCAGGTACCGTCGTCGTGCATTCGAACGCTCCCTCATATTGCCCAGATCACATGAGATTATTCCAATAATTTCAAGTAGGCCCATACGTAATTACAAGTTAACTGTGTCGTCATCATTTTACCTTCAATGTAATTTACTTACCTCCGAGTGGGAAAATAATTTTTACTATTATGTCAGTTCTACTTTATTATTGGCAGTTGCTACCCTATTGGCCATTACGCAGTTATTAAATAACTGCGTCAATTCTACCGTTGCTCCGCTATCATTGCTCGTCGCCACCCTCTACATTCCATCTACTTAATACTTTGTTCGGTTATTAGTTTTCGTTTTGTAAAAGAAATGAAAGTAGAAGATTCACAGTCATATCCATGCAAGGAGGTATAAACACCATAATGATAGGATATATAATGGTACTGTACAACGCTATATCACTGGTTTGGCAAAATGTATCACTATAAATCGTAGGCCAACCAAAAGCTTGTCAACATTTAGTTACAAGTACTTGTTAATAGCTTTCGTAACTAAAATATTTCGTAACTAAAATAAAAATGCAATCTCTCGTCTGAGGTGGTGTCATTTATTCTTTAGACGTTTAAAACACATGGTTTTCGAGTAATTGAGACACAAACGAGGTTTTGCAGAGAAAAGTATAGGTTAGAACCTATTCTAGGCGTATAATGCTTAGAGTACCACAGTTAAATAAAGCAATATGATAATCTACCATCCATCAGAAAATGATATTAAGCCTACCAGAAAAATAAATTTACATTGATAAGTGTATTATTATTATTATTATTATTATTATTATTATTATTATTATTATTATTATTATT